AGTTTTGCTGGTAGTTTATGAGGTAGTTTGCAAAGTAGATAGCCAATCAGAAAAGGGTTTGAGTGGTTTCCAAAACAATCAATGTGTTTCCAGCCAATCAGAGAAGTCTTTGAGTAGTTTACGATCATCACACCGGCCTAGCTCTACAACTACGCACGCTCACCCCTTGAGATTCTATTTGACAAAGGCTGTTTTCCGATCGTTTTCCGATAGCATTCCGATGCGTACCGACGGAGATATCCGAAACCCGAAAATTYTTGCGGGAATCGGTAATAAATCGGCAGAAATGACGAGATTACTCATTTTCGTTTGACTTTTCTTTAATAATTAACTGAAAAACAACCAAGTGAGTTGTTTCTAGAAGTTTCTAGAATAATGTAATACACATATTTTGCCATTATTTCGAAAGAAATGTGTAGCTTTGAAAAAAATTGAGTAGTTTACGGAAATCACGTAAACTACCCTGGATCCACCCTTGAATAGCTTACAAATTTATCACGCCTTGATTGGTTATTTTTTATCATCAATAAGGAGACAGACAGATAAAGCTGATGTCAACGAGCGCGCGCTCTTTCCGTTAAAAAACAAATAGACATCAGCTTTTTATGTGTCTCTCCTCTTACTGACAATAAATTTCGTCATCATATTGTCAAAGTAGTATGCGGATCCACACTACTTTGACAATGTGATGACGCAATTTATCATCAATAAGATTTGTAGAATAATAATTGTTAGAAGATAGGAGAATGAAGAAGAAGAAGAAGACAATGAAAACAAAAAAGAAGTATGAGATTGGTAAAGAACAAAAGAGAAGATGAAAACGAAATAGTCTATAGAGAGAGAAATGTGGCGGAAAACCTTTTCCTTTAACAAATTGCCACTACATCGAGTTTCTAATGTAGGCAGTGCTTCTTAAGTGATTTTTACTCGTAGTACAATAGTAATATATTCTCCTTTGCAATAAGAATTGCAAAAAAGCAATGGATGTGTGTAACTTCTTAAATCAAGGACTAGAGCTTCCCAATCACAAGCACAAAATCGTACACTTTTCTGTCTCAAAAAAGTAAGGTTATGGTGAACATTAAAGTGTTTCCATGACTGTCGGAAAATACAAAGTTTTCAAGAGCATTTGCCTATGGGACGTTAAAACTCCTTCATTGACGTCCACAAAAATAAAGTTTGTTGCAACAGCAAGGTGTACGATTTTGTGCGTGTGATTTGAAAGTGCTGTAATGTGATGGCTTAAAATAATGGCTGGTTAACAGACAATGTATAGTAGAGATTATACCTCTGGGTCGTAACCAGGGGTTTTACAGGGTGGGTGCACAGGAAATGGAACTGGATAAAAACAGCCATCTTGAGAAGAGGTATAACATTCTAAGGATTTGGAGAATCAAAAAAGGGATCAATGATTGATCCTAAAACCAACCTAGAATTTGCAGAAGCATAAATAAATATAAGGGAGAAAAAATGATTGAGGGGGTGAGGGAAGGCTGGACATGCAACATATCCCCCTTGGTTACAGTCCTGGTATTTGTGTCTGGTCAAACAACACTGGCCAGTTCTCTTACAGGTCACGTGTTAATCAGTCTGATGTGGCCAGCCATCGTTTCCAGCCAATGAGAAACCGTTCTTAGCTCTCGACCCTGCAATAAAGGTACAACTCAAACAAAGGAATAATATTCAAGGAAATGGCATTGGTTAACTAGAAAAGTACAGCATCGCTTTAAAGTTGGAAAATACCGTATAGATTCAAAGAAATTCGAAATTGTTTTAATCTCGACACGTTTTTATCATTATTTGAATCGTTAAGGATTTTTATTCCAGTAAAATTGTTTATTTACAAAGTGTAATATTTTATTTATATCTTATTTATGTTTTGCTTGTTTGTTGTTGGTGTTGTCAAAATAGCGCAGCACACTGATTCTTAAAGATTCGGACAAACATTGCATTCTGTTTAACCGCTACGAGGATTATACGAACCGATTTTATTATTTTTACTTAAAGTTACAATAATAACCTATGTAAACTAAGATCAACTGCGATCGGCTGTGAAAATTATCTGCTGAAAGTAAACTTGTAAATTTGTTTGTCCGAACACAGGTAGCCCAAGCTTGGTTTCTGTGGTATCCTGTTATAAGGAAATGTATGGGGATTCATCAAAAATTTCAATAAAATCATCAAAACGTGACATAAAGCCTCGAAATTTTACCCTATCATTGAG